AGAGTGAAAGCCAAATTCCGGGACACTAGGAAGATACTTGGAACCGATCGAGTGGTCATGAGTTCAGAGAGGTTTGGAAACTACCAAACCGATTGTTTCCAAACCTCTCTGAACTCCGGAACACTATGTTTATAATGAGATTGCCTAAAGGTGTTTATAAGTTCTGTGGAACTAGTGGTAGGAACAATGTTTTAGTACAACAGAAAACACAAGTGCTCGGACTATGAGAACACGCTTTGACGCTGTATTGACTACTTGGACAGTTGGTTCACTTAGCAAGCCGTGCACAAATAGGCATACCAAAAGTGAATGATGGGTGGAAATGAAATCAGGAACTAAATAACTTCTACTATCCCAAGCTTATCGATGACGGAGTATTTAGGGTGTCAGGTGTGTGATCCTGGGAGATAATCAGTTCGAGCTTGCGTAGATGCGGGCGACATCCCAGAATCCCTAACATGCATGCGATCTCTGGCGAGCACAGCGTAAGTAGGAGCATCTGGTATGTTGCAGTTGGATGCATACCGAATGTCAAGCCAAGACAGTCAGAAAGGTGCTTGTGCACCCGATGACGAGTGAACAAACACGCTTTCATTAGTGACGAAAAGAAAGTTTCTTACGCTTCCTCCACTAGTGAAGGTGGATACACCTGGGCGTAATGCGTTATGAAGGTGGTAGACGGAGCCGACGCATATTTCGGATGCGTTTCCTGCTAGTATTAGATATATAGTAATGTCAACGAAAGTTAGGTTTGGAATTTCGCTACTTCACAATAAAAGTTTCAAGGATATGCTAAATGTGACGAAAACCTAACTCACCAAACTCAATGGAGAGAATTACATACGATCGGGTAGAACACAAGTAGTGATAATGCGAAGATTAGACAGTCATAGGCTGACGGATTTCGGATAAGAAACCTAAAATGACAACAACTTATGAACATTTCATTCACATAAAGCGACCAAGATAAACTGCAGCAGGGCGTAACATCTAGACATCTTGCTGGTATGGGTAAATGAAAAAAGCATTCTGCGAAAAGCTGCCGGCAACAAACTACTTTATGTGACGAGAAAAAACACCATTGTACTTCGACACATTCAGCGACGGGTAACAAGACTAAGCTGTACCATAAGTTTGTCCAGCCAGGCTGGCAGCTTGGTTGAATTAACCGTGGTCAAGTGGCAGCAACCTGACTAAGTCATCTGCATATGTAGGTAAAATAACCAATTCGGGGACGGGTATTTGGCCAACGAAAATTAAGAGACAGAAATAATGGTAGCAAAGTCCCCTAAAAAACACGGGTTTGTGGTGCTCGATAAGAAGCTTTTGGTACCAGTTGGTATACTGTTGACGGTTAACTAGAAGATTATGGTACGTTAAATTCGGGAGACAAATGGACTCCATAAAAGCAGTTCACGGTTAAAAAAGTCAAAGGTCTTACTGTGAGGAAGCAGATATATGTAGCACGGTTATTATTGACAAACAGTAGCATCATTGAATGCTCGGAGTAGACCTGGAACAACAAATTTATGCGGATCATTTGAACATAGTTAAGCCATCATTACTACAAGTATGGTCTCCTCGAACGTCTCCAAAGCTACCGAACTGCATACAGTGATCCAATGTCTGCAAGGCCCTCTGCAGTAACTAGTGATTTTTTGTTATGTACATGACGTTCATAAAAGCAAGAGAATAAGTCAAGAAATTGGCATATTCACTGAAACGTAATCGGAGATAGTCTGAACTAACTGCTTGATTTGTCGATGTCAAAGGATAAAATACTTGTGCAAGGTTACATTTTTAAAAGGCAATGAATGTGTGGAGAGCTGAAGCTGAATGGAGGACGATTCATGAACTGAATTAGTTTGGGAACAAAGTGGGCTACGCTGAGATAGCTCATGTAGACATTAGAAACCACAACATAACGAGTGACGTCACTTAATAATTTCATCATCCTTCATATTTTCTAGCAAGTAATGCCTGCAGATATCGTTTGAATGTGCATGTAATTACGCCGGCGCAGTAGAGAGGCGCCTTACTGAGGAACGACCGTTAATTCTGAACGCTTTCGTTAGAGTATAAGAATTCGCTTGACGTACAGAGAGGCGGACAACAGGTATCAAAGAAAAAATTCATAAGCCATTCATTAATTATAACAGGTAGATACCTCAGCAATGAAAGATATGCGGGAAATCTATAGAGGCAATAATCTATGGAGTCAATCTATAGAGGTAATAATAGAGGCAGTTGTTTTGCGGTGGGCATCGCTTCTTTCCTAATCTCCTGTCCTTAAAACGGGACACTTATTCATGATTTGTCAAACTCAAGACAAGGGTTGGTGGAGTTAAGAAAGTGAACACTGATCCAAGTGAACAAAGGTAAGAAATCTGTCATTGGGCGACACGAATAATGGCATTTCGAATGCGTGAGATCGATTTCGCGAGGATCATAGTTGTCACCAGTATATAGACAAGGTGTGAATAACGCACCTTGATACCATCTAGCTAGTGGGTTACTAAGAGCTGAATTCATCCAGCTTTTAGGTGTGTTTCAATTCTGTGTAAACCTCAAAAGATGCGTAACCAAACAGGACTAAGTAAGTACGGGGCTGACGGTCTAACTGTAACCGGCGCAATTTTTCAGCTCACAATTGCGCATTTAGTTATTTATAAAATACAGGATGAGTTATGTTCATTTACCAATTCCAGGAAACTGCGCATAGGATTAAAGAAAGCAAAGATATGAGAAATGAAAGACATAAAACTAGCTAAATGTATTAAGGTAGTAAAGTCAGTAGAGATGTAAGTAAACCGCAAATGATTTGTGACAGTATCTGACCCCCAGGGCTGCTGGGAAAGAAACGAATGATGCACCCAATTAAAGCTCAAGGAAAACACAGTTGGGCAAGAAGCGCATCAATGATGATCGCTCAGGATAATCGTTCAGAATGATAGGATCAAACATGAGTGGGGAGCAGATCAAAAATAATAGAGAACGGGATAGCGGTACAAAGCTGGTAGGTTGTGGTTTGTTGTCGCGTGGTTATGAGTCATCAACTGCCTGAGGTAGTCGAAACAAAATATAAGTTATAGGCTCTGGTATTTTACTTACCATGAGTAGGAAAAGGGTGACGATCACGAAGTCTAGTGTGCGTGAAGCAAAACGTTTACGGAACAGAAGGTTGCAGAAAATCATGGACGGACAATAAGTAGAGTTGGGAAAAATCGAATGTTTGATACGGAGAAATGTCCCAACCACGAATTTTTAAGTCCCCTTCCCTTTTCCTCACTTAATGAGTGTTAGAATTATTTGAAAAGGAAGTACAATTTTCTTCAAATATAAGGCCCAGAACATGTGCCGATACAACGTACTATCCGGTATATTGAGAAATTAGAGAAAACCTCTTGCAGTTACCGTACATTGTCACTTCGTGCTGGTATTTTATTGCACAGTGGTAGTTAACCAAAATTAAGTTGATCAAACTAACCAGTCACAGATTGAATCATCAGAATGAGCGGTATCGACATGAAATACAATGATGTATTGCTAAGAAATGGTTTTGTGGTCCATGGACACGGCTGGTAAACCACAGGTGGTTAAACGCCGTGAAGGCATTAAGTAGGCTGGATTCATCCGATCAAGCCGTTGGAAGAACAATTCCACTATGCAATAAAGCTAAGGAGCAACGGACCAATCGAACTATGAAACTGCACGAAACAGGCGCAACGGAGCGAGGTTTAGCAAAAGGTCCCGTGAGGTTGGTGATACAGATATCCGGTAGTAGCTAGAACAGGCTGATGGACTAACAAAATGGACAATGATGTGCAGATCACTCGGTTACACACTGTCCATCTTTGCCGTACTAGAAATGAACCCGGTAACCGAGATGCAAGTAAGTACACTCACGTGCGTGGATACTGTTAATCCCATCGGGCGGCATTATGCATGCAGGCGCTCGCAGTGACAGACGGACAGGCCAACCGACGTGTGAGCGGTGAGACCATAGTAACAAAAACGAAACAACCGGAACGGCAGACGATAGTCAATGAGACAGCCGTCGGCCGAGACGACTGGGCGAAAGGGGTATCCGTGGGAAAGAGAAGCGATCGATAATCAAGGCAACCGTAATTGCGAGTGTATCGATTGTTGAATCGAATGAAAAGATTGTCACCCGAGAACGACGAACGGTAGAAAATGCGCAAGAGTGAAGATGTGCAGACAGTGTTGTTCGACCTGAGTCCCAGCGAGAAAGCGATAAATTGGTGTCCAAATGTTAATTAGATGTTAGAACATGATTACATTCTCAATAATATAACACGGAAAAACACCTAAATATGTACCTGAGACAACAAAACGAGTCCGCGTGATTGTTCCATTCATACCCAAGAAGGTTGTGTCACCGGGGGCTGCACGTGAGTAGTAATTCAACTCCGGGAGTCGCATTCGGAGCTAGTCGGAATGAGACTCCTTGAATACTGTATTTACTAGGGCGTAAGCCAAGTTGCCGGTGCCGTTCAATGGTAGATAGTCCAATGCCAGGGATCCGCTTGCCACCTCATAAGGTTCTTTTCCGTTCCCTGAGAACCCTCGCGAGTTCATTTCATGCGGCAATTGTCTGAGGGTGCCGAAAAATACACTAGAAGATCTATCATCCGAATTTGAATCCGCAGGTTTATCAACTTGTTGGGGAATTAGATCAAGCCCAGAACTGGTCAAAATGAGTTCCATTGTGATAGGGTCTTCGTTGCGCAGTTTCGTATTCGGCCGACTTGCCGCAGTGTCTCCAACTCTTCTTCACTTAGAGGTTTGGGAGGTCGCAGCGACTGCACAAGACGCAAGGACAGCATTGGAGGTGGGTGGCCATCTGCGTAGCATGTGATTTCTGAACCAACTTGAAGGTAACCGTCCCGAGGTCGAGGAAGCAAATATGAAATGGTTGTTGGGTCTGATTAAAAAAAGCGTACATATTGAAAGGATCAGTAATTTACCGGTAATCCAATTGAGCGACTTACACGGCGCAATGCTCATCACTTAAACAACAAAAGCAGAAGAGCACCTCACTCTACGAAGACAAGTGCAGCATAAAATGTAGAAGACAGTTTATAAGGTAATGGGATCATCGGTAGTCCATACGGTCAGGTATAGCTGTGGGAGTTTGGCTAAGAAAACCATACCAGCAAAAGTGGACTGTCGCTACAACATCAGTAATCGTGGAGTACAATAGTCACTCATCCGAGCTCAAGTACACGGTTTACAACCATCTTAACACCAAAGTATGGTACGAAGCACAAGTACGTAGTTGCAAAGGCAAGAGCGATAGGCCACTGAATTTGGGTGAAGCCTAAAATTGATCGGTATCACTGCTTCTTCAAGCTATGTGCGTACGTACATTACAGGCGTTCGCGATAGGCACAGGATGGAGCTCCGTTCAGCGTTTAAAGCGTCCAGGCTTCATTCGCTTTGTGCAGGCTGTCGCGATTACCAGTTGTGTGTACTAAAAACAATCACTTGTCAACTTGCAGCTGTATTGAATGTAAGGGCCGAATAATCGTGATTGGCTGCGATTCAAGTTTGTTTACTGATAACCACTGTGTAGTTTATGCGTGCTTACTAACGACAGTGACGAGATGATGCGAAATGCATGCTTTGTATCCGCTCGATGTGCTGGTAGCACTGAAGAAAGTCAAATGCATAAACCTCAACCACGACAAAAGCTAAAGATCACACATGGATCAGACAAGGCCTTCATCCCACGTGTATACTAGTCACACTAGAGAGTGAGTCAATCCACGTGTTAGCGCCTCCGGACGAAATATCTGGTGAAAACGCGACGAGACATGCAAAATTATACTGAAAAGATAAGGGTTGAAGTTTGTGGAGGAAGGATGTCACAGCTGCAGCCACGTGCGCACACTGACCATGGCAGTGTATTCCAGCCTAAGCGATAGTTCTATTGAGACTAGAAAGGCCAGAAAATCAATAGTCCCGGTTACCCAACTCAGAAGTCAGGTACCACAAAGAAGCAAAAGCTTAAATAAAGTTTCCCGAGAGTCAGATACCGCAGAAACACGGACACAGTATAGTCGTTGCCATCCTTCGTCATAAAGGAGGTCGAGTCAGTTCGATTGCGCTAAATGTACCAGTAAATGTACCAGTAAGCAAGCGTGTGAAGTAACAAGCACAGACCTTTCTCTGGCAACCCACAGCGCTCAACCCCACAAGAACACTTAAGCAGTTCAGGAGGCAAGGTTCAACAACCGCTGGCACCAAACACATTGGCCAATATGGTTACACAGTCTGTCGGATGTGTCTTGCTCACTTTTGTGTACCCACCTCATCGGTTGGCCACAACATACAAACATCATCTCAGAGAGTGTTGGGGGTAAGATATTAGTGTAAACGTACCGTCTTTACGTCTTTGAAGCAAAATTAATAGTGACCACGGAGCCTAGTCGGTAAACGGCCGAATTAGCTCTGTTGAGACAGGAACGGAAGACAGTTCTGAGACGTAACTGGAACGGTACATGGATATGTTATCATTTCCAACGCATGTAACAGACAGAAAGGTATTCTGATGGAAGGAACATTTGACATCGCTTCGTCTATGACATGAAAGAAAAATGTTGCACTTTTACAATACGTACGATCACACTGTGTTCTGATGACACAGATGAGCGACTTTCATCAGCTACCCTCCGTGATGTAGCTTGAATCATGGAGCGAGATTGTTAACCTTAGTTGATAGCAAAGTGCACATCGGGTACGATGTCAAGAAACAGAAAAATGTAAGAGGACCTCATTGGATTGCCTCAGCTAGTAAGGGTAGTGGTTGCTTCCTAGGCATGCAATGTAGCGTCTGATGATCGCGAAGCTCGGTTCACCATAAGTGCTAGAGCTCTCTCTACCTAGGCATAATCGGATTCATCATATCCCAAGCATGAAAGGGTAACATTAGGTCTGTTTGAAGTGAAGGAAGTGTGCATGGCTGAAGCAATACAAGAAGACGCGTCTAACAAAGAGCACAAATCGGAATGCACACATTCGTATATAAGTTTTTATGTCCGAGAAATGTTCACCGACCGTAAGAAAGGGAGATGACATATATTTCACATCTCGGCTATTGAAATGATTATTGATGAAGATGGACAAGTGGTCCGTTTTCAGACCCACCAGTTGGAACGAAGAAGCAGGACATGTCAAAAAACGGTTACGCCGGATGGTGAGTAGAGATTACCTGCTTTGCCATATTAAGGTACTCTCATGGTATCCAATAACATTCAGGAGGCCCGATGCCAAATTGTAAAGTTGAGCAAGACGCCTTGATGCAACGACTTTTCCACATCGTTATTCCGAGATGGCAATAAACGACTTATGACTAATATGTGTGTAAAATTCGACAATGAGCGGATATTAAAATGGGACTCATAAATGGCGTTTGCTATGAAACATCATTGGGATCAAAAATGGGACATGAAAGGCACGTGGAAATAAGCAAGGCACTAGTGTAAAGGCATTCGATCCAAAGTGGCACACACGTATTACAACGCAACAGCGCGTTAGTGCTCAAAAAGTCGAACGCAGCGGAACCCACAGCAGTTTCCGCCCAAGTTGAAGATACATGTGTTCCCGTATTGTCAGATTCTGCGACAGCACCATAGTTAGGCAAATTCCCATGTTCGTCTGCCAAAACCGGGAGGACACCTTTGACTCGGTCGATTAATCTGCTTTGTAAATCCTCAGCAGAGCGCCGAAGTACGATAAATTCGAACACAATAATTCAAAATGCCATACGAATAAACCCAAAGAATAAAAAAGAAAAAGACCCAAAGCATTAAAATCAAAATGAGAGGGATGAATAACCACTTAGTGGACAAACGGAAGTGTTAATCGAGCGCCACGTTGGTGAGAAATCTCAAAAACTGATATGGTCTAGCAAGAAGTCTCATCTAAGAAGAGAGAGTGCTCAAGTCACATTATGTTAAATTCAGTCAAAATCAGCTTAATGTACCTGAATGGGTTAGCTTCAGTGTTTACGTTATCACTAGGATGTACAAAAGCAGCATCAATCCAAATAAAAAAACATCAAAGAAGAAAATGCGCACAGAAGTCACTGCATTAAGTGGTCATGCATCATAAGCATTTTTAAGTGAAAAAAGTAAGTATAGCAATAGCAGAACCTGAAAGGTCATTGAGTATTGGGTGAAAGAGATCACTAGGATGTTGGAATGAAAATTGAAACGCGCATAGAGCTGCCGACTGGATATGGAATCAACGAGAAAACTAGATGGACCGTTGGTTTATAAACAAGCTTCAAAAATTGAGCAATCACGATACGGTGATGTAATGGTGACTGCTAAATTGAGTGAAGTTCAGTGATTCCGGACTGACCTTACAACTCGCGATAACAGGCGGAAAGCGAAGTAACAAAATATGGATGCAAAAGTAACTGCAGTAGAAAATAATTATGCCTATGCATAACAGATTCTGATTGCTGCCCAAAATTTAATTTTGATTCCTGGAAATTAAAAAATGATGTGATAAACCAAGGGGAAGAACGCAAGCAGTTGAAGAGGTCGAAATCAAACTACTACAAACAGAAGCAAAGCAAGCAAAATAGACGGTCGCTTGGCTTCATGGGACAGTTCATAAAGATGTGTCGAGCAAGACATTTCGATGCCAAAGGAAACCGGGACTTGACGTCGGATGCACTAAATGTACTTCCGTTGCTTATAGCAAGAGGAGCCATCCCAATAATAAATGAAGTACAAACGCCAAGACCAGAATTTACCATCTTGATATATTCAGGAGCGCCGAGAATCGAGGTGGTGATTATCTTACTGGTTTATCTGCTACATGCTAATTAGCGGAACTCATGTAAATACTGGAAGATATGAATAACAAAACAACATATCTGCAAGGAACAAATGGGAATAGAAGGCAAGCTATGAAGCGTACAGTGAAAGCAGAAAAGAAGAGAATTTCTGCAAAACACCGGTCAGCAAATAAACTAAAGGTTTTAAAAATATATATATGTATATATGTAAATATGTATGATGTTGTCGTTAGCGTACATGGGTCCCGTTAACTCCTGGGTACCAAGCGGTTGCTGCTTACAATATTCCACACTCGTTCGTACATTGGATTGAACAATTGGGTGTAGTGATCAACAATTATCCCTGGAATTCATGTACTCTACAACCCTTCCTCGCTTTGGAATGCAGTTTGGAAAATCGGTGTTCAAGACCCAACAACTTTTGTTGCAAGTGTCCACACGTTGGTTCGTCCATGTAAGCTGAATAATCCCGGCAAGTCAGTGACTAGCGATTAACATGCTGATGTTGATGCTACATGTTCTGTCTCATATCTTAGTCACAATAATGGGTGTAGCTATATTTCCAGCTGAACATCGCTCATACTGAAGTTAGGATAAGTCAGCCGTTATCGAGATAAGGTGCGGAAGAGCAAACGTTTCTTTTACAATTTAAATTAAAAATGACCAATCATCTAGATTGACTTAAAAGTAGATTAGTCCAACTATGGTGTTACGGTGGTGTTTAAATAAATATTTAATTGGAAAATACCTTCAGCACAGAAACAATTGATTTGTATACCGACAGTTTGTTAGTAAATTGTAAGTGGTAAAATTATGATGAGAAATCCAGTTCGCATGGGAATATCATACGTTCAGTTAACCACCTTATCTGCGCCATCTGCCGAGGCTCTTGGTACCCATTATTTGTCTACCCTCATATGATTAACTATGCAACGCTCACTGTTTTCATTGCGAATCACACCATGGGTATGGAGATTTACTGGTTCATTGCTTTCTCAGCCATGTCTAAGTGGTTCCATTGCAAATCCCGTTGTGAAGATATCGTCATGCCCAAGTGTGTCACGACATACTCATTTGAGATATTAGATAATTAAATGTTGTGCAAGGTACTTCTTGTAAGTTTGCTAAACCAGTTTGCACACTCTTTCAAGAGCCGATGATAGAACAGGGAGCAGCGGACTTTTCCACATATGCA